TAATGATGTACACCTGAAATTTATAGCATGTTATAAACCAATGATACTGCAATAAACAAAAAATTTTTAAAAATTAAAAAAAAAAATGTGAATGGGCTAAATTCCCCTTAGAGTCTTAGAGACTCCAAGATTAGGTTAAAAAAAATCTAGCCATATTCAGCTTGCAAGAGACAAAAATATACCAGGCAAATGCTAAAAAGAAAGCAGATGAGCAACATTAGTATGTGACAAAGCAGAATTCAAGGCAAAACACACTAAACAAGACAAAGGTATAATCCATTAGTAGAATATAACAATCATAAAAAAATTGTCAAATCCAAAATCATTGCATAAACCTTTTAAAAACTCTAAGCAGATATGTACATAAGAATATTAATTGCAACATTATAATACTGCCAAACTGGAAATAGCCTAAATCTCCATCAAGAAGAGACTAGTCAAATGAATTCTAGTGTTTCTGTACAAAGGAATACAGTCCAGCTCTTAAAAAAGGATGAGGTTAAAAAATAAAAAGAATGAGGTAGATCTGGATATACTGATGTGGAATCATGTCCATGATGAACCAGTGACTAAAATGTAATGAGGTTACAGAATGGACAGAAAAATAGATATCTGTGCCTCGGTTTCCTCGTCTATAAAATGCAGATGATGTTAATATCCATCTATCTCACAGGGTTACTGTGAAGATCAAATCAGTTAATTCCAGTGAAGTACTTTGAACAATGGCTGGCATACAGATATTTCCATTGGGTCGTGGGTGTTAAAAGCCTTAGAAGATACAAACACTTTGACATAACAATTTTCTACCTCTAGAAAGTTGTCTTAAGGAAATAATCAGACAAATGTACAATAATGTAGATTAAAGCACCATTTAACAGCAAAATAAGAGGAAAGGAGACATATATTCAACATGCTATGATCTCAATGTTTGTGTCTCCCAAAATGAATACGTTGAAACCTAATGCCCAAGGTGAAGGTATTAGGAGGTGGGGCCTTTGGAAGGTGATTAGGTCACAAGGGTGAGCCCTCGTGATTGGAATTAGTGCCCTTTTTAAAAGAAGCCCCACAGAGTCCACTAGCCCCTTCCACCATATGAGGATACAAAGAGAAGTCTGCCACACGGAGACCATACTGGCACTCTGATCTTGGACCTCCAGCCTCCAGAACTGTGAAAAGTAAATTTCTGTTGTTTATAAGCCAGCTGGTCTGTGGTATTTTGTTATAGCAGCCCAAACGCACTAAGACACAATAATAGTGGATTGTTTACTGAGTGTTCTTCCTCCAGATATGCCCAATGCTTGCTCCTTCACTTTCTTCAGATCCCTGACCAAATGCCACCTTACCAGAGAAGCCTTTCCTGATCACACTCACTCTACCATTACCCCCCCCTTTCCTCACCCTGCTTCAGAGCACTATCATCATTTGATACATACATATTTACGTTTCTCTATTGTCTATCTCTCTCCCCACTGTAAGTGACACATGATGAGACTTTGTTTTGTCCACTGCTGTATCCCTGGTGTCTAGAACAGTGTCCATTATAAATATTTAATTCAATTAATAAATGTTTGGATAAATCAAGGTATTTCCATAC